GCTGATGTTAGATGGATCCTGGCTAAAAATAGAGAATACCAGAAAGATGTTAACCTGGGTTTTTTTGACTTTGCAAAGGTATTTGTGTGGATCATAACAAATTTTGCCTGACAGTGCACAGAACGGGAATCCCAGAATATTTTATTGTATTCTTATGGAACCTGTACAAGGCAATCATTTAAACAGAATAAGAGGATACTGTGTGCCTTAAAATCAGGAAAGATGTATATAAAGGCTGTATCTTTTCACCATACTTACAGTCTGTATGAAGAACAAATAACATGAAAAGCTTACTATATGAAAAAGACCCTAGCATAGGAATTGTTGTTGTTGTTATGTGCCGTCGAGTTGCTTGCAACTCATAGCGACCCTATGTACAACAGCTCTAAACTCTGCGGTCCCTAACAGCAGACTTTCCCATCGCAATACATCTTTTAGTTTCCTGGCTGCTGGTGCCAAGAGTGTTGATTGTGGAGCCAAGCAGACTAAAGCTCTGAACAGTTGCAATCTCTTCACCATCCATCCTGATGCTGCCAATTAGTCCAGTGGTGAGAATCTTTGTCTTCTTGACATTGAGCCTCAATCCATATTGAAGGCTGCAGTCCTTGACGCTCTGCAGCAAGCGCTTCAGGTCCTCCTCAGTTTCAGCAAGCAGGGTTGTGTCATCTGCATAATGCTGATTGTTGATAGATCTTCCACCAATCCTGATTCCGCATTTCTCCTCATAGAGCCCAGCCTCCCGGATGATCTGTTCTGTATACAGGTTGAAAAGGTGTGGAGACAGGACACATCCCTGGCATATGCCCTTTCCAATTTTGAACCATGCATTGTTTCCTTGCTCTGTTCTGACAACTGCCTCTTGGTTCAAGTATAAGTTTCACATTAGCACTATCAAGTGTTCTGGGATTCCCATTCTTCTCAGAGTCAGCCATAGTTTGTTATGATCTACACAGTCAAATGCCTTTGCATAGTCAATGAAACACAGACATTCCTCTGGTATTCCCTGCTTTCAGCCAAGATCTATCTAACATCAGCTACAATATCCCTAGTACCACAACCCCTTCTAAACGCAGCCTGGACTTCTGGCAGTTCTCTGCTGATGTGCTGTTCCAGTCGTTTTTGGATAATCTTCAGTAGAATCTTGCTTGCATGTAAAATCAACGATATTGTTCTATAGTTTCCATACTCTGTTGGGTCACCTTTCTTTGGGATGGGAACAAATATCGATCTCTTCCAGTCAGTTGGCCAAGTGGTTGTTCTCCAGATTTCTTGACATAACTTGAGCACGTCCAGGGCAGCATCTCTTAGCTGAAATGTCAATTGGTATACCATCTATTCTTGGGGCCTTATTTTTTGCTATTTCCTTCGAAGCAGCTTGGACTTCTTCCTTTATCACCATAGGCTCTTGCTCATATGTTGTTTCATTAAATTATTCTGTGTCTGCTATTTCCTTTCGATACAATGACTCAGTATGTTCTTTCCATCTTCTTTTGATACCTCCTGGATCATGTAATACTCTTCCTAAAGCATTCTTGATTATAGCAACTCGAGGTTTGAATTTGTTCTTCAGTTCCTTGAGCTTAAGAAATGCTGAGTGAGTTTGACCCTTTTGGTTTTCTGACTCCAGCTCCTAGCACATTTCATTGTAATATTTTAATTAGAGGAAGAATTATTCACAACTTGAAATACTTAGATGATACAACCTTGCTTGCTAAAAGTGAAGAAGACTTGAAGCACTGACTGATGAAAAGCAAAGACTACAGCTTTTGGTATGACCTGTATACCTCAACATAAAAAAACCCAAAAAATCCTCACAACTAGACATATATGCAACATATAATAAACAGACAAAAATTGAGGTTGTCAAGGATTTAATTTTATTTGGGTCTATAATTAATGCTCGTGGAAGCGTCAATCACACTCACACACACAAAATATATTTCATTGCATTGGGAAAATCTACTGCAAAAGATCTCCTTAAAATGTTAAAAACCAGAGATGTCACTTTGAGTACTAACATGCGTTTGACCAAAGCCATGATCATTTCATTTGCATCATATGCATATGAAAGCTAGATAATGAAGACCAAAGAATTGATACATTCAAATTATGGTGTCATGAAGATTAGTGAATATACTATATACACTATCAGAAAAATGATCAGTCTGTCTTGGGAGAAATAAAGTCAGAATGCACCTTACCAGCAAAGATGGTGAGACTTCATCTTATATACTGTGGACATGTTATCATGGGAGACATGTCCCTGGAGAAGGACATCAGTACGTGGTGAAGTAGTGAATCCAGGGTGAAAAATAAAAGACACTCATGAGATGTTCTGATGACATAGTACAGCAGTAGTGTCAAACATTGCAAATTTTGTTAGGCTGGCACAGAAATAGGCAGTGTTTTATTCTGTTTTCCATAGGGTGGGTATAAGTCAGACCTGAATTGATGATACCTATTGATGACAGTAACAACCTGCATAATGTTCAAGAAGAAAAAGAGCATTTTACTTTAGAAAAGTTTTTACATAATTATTTTGTTTGATCTCCATAGCAGTTCTATAAATGTGTTCACATTTTTAATAAAGGGAAGTTATTACCATATTGGAGTTAGAAGAAAAAGAGATCAGAGATTGTGCTGAAACGTGTTTGAGGATGTTATTTAGGGAGTGTGCATGGAAGAGTTTGTAACACAAACTTACCCCAGTTGTATATATAGAAACTAAGGCACTGTATAACAGAGAAGTTACTTATGTATTCTCATGTAATCAATAAATCAGTCCTATGAAATAAGTGTTAATATCTTCACTTTATAGCTGAAGAAACTGAAACTCAGAGGACTGAATTCATTTGCCCAAGGTCAGATAGGTAATAACTGACAGAGCCAATATTAGCATCCAGGACTGATATTTGCCTCTAAGCCATTTTTCAGTTCATCAAACTACCTTCATTTTATAGATGCTCATATGTTCCTTGTATTAATTAATGAAACTTCATTAGACATGAAAATTCATTTTTTTTAATTTAAAAATGGAAAATTCATTCATTCTAATCTGTAAATTGTTGTTAAGTGCCGTCAAGTTGTAGATGACTGGGGGGCTTTGATGGCTTATGCATCTCAACATCAAGAAAACAAATATCCTCACCACTGAGCCAGTGGGCAGAATCATGATAGATGGAAAAAAAGATTGAGATTATTAAAGATTTCCTCTCACTTGGATCTACAATAAACACTCTTGGCCCCAGCAGCCAGGAAATCAAAAGATCTATTGCATTGGGAAAATCTGCTGTCAGGGACCTCTGCAGAGAGCTAAGAAGCGATGATGTCAATCTAGAGACTAAGGTGTGCCTGCATCAGGTCATGGTCTCCTCAGTTGTTTGCTAGCCATATGAGAGCTGGACAGTGAATAAGAGTGACAGAAGAAAAGTTGATGTCTTTGCGTTGTGCTGGAGAAAAGTATAGAAAATACCATGGACTGCAAAGAGAACAAACAGGTCTGTCATGGAGAGGGTGAAAACAGGTTACTCCTTGGAAGCAAGGATTCTGAAACTGTCTCATGCATTGGGCATGTTGTCAGGAGGTACTGGCCCTTGGAGAAGGACATCATGCTTAGAAGAGGACATCAGCACAGAAGAGGACAACTCTGGATGAGATGGATTGACACAGTGACTGTGGCAATCAGGTCAGGTTTGTTGGAGATGGTGAGGTTGGCTTCGGAGAGGGCAAGGGCCAGAGACGTTGTTGATAGGGTCGCTCCCTGAGTCGGTTGAACTTGATGATGGCACTTAACAACAGTGGCTTAATGATAAGGAGTTGTACTGCCAACTCAAAGGCAGGTGGTTTAAATCCACCAGCTGCTCCTTGGGAGAAAGATGAGCAGTCTCCTCCCATGTGGCCTCTCAAATTCACTGGAAAGTCAGCTATGAATTGGTTCCAGCTTGATGGTATATAACAACAATGTGTAAACTATTTTATGTTTCCTTACTTCAATGACTTTTTTTGGATAAGATGAAGACATTGGTACTGTATTTCTCTGTAGTCATTAGTGTTATCACCACACCTGATCCTCACACTAGTCTATTTATATATGCCCAGATTGTAATTCCATTTATACTGAAGTCCAGAGAGGAAATGTTTTGCCTGCATAGATAGCATAGTCCATAGAGAGTTGTGCTGCTGACCCAAGGCCTGAGCCTCTCAGCAGTTCAAATCTTCAGCAGCTCCTACAGAAAAAGATGAACAGTCTCCTTCAAGTGATTTACAGCCTTGGAAACTCATCCGAGGATCAGCCATGAATCAGTTCCAACTCGACAGGAGTGAATGAGTCAGTGGCAGGGCCAAGACTTGACTCCACGTTCAATATTCTTTTCACTGCAGTATGTGTATCTGCTTTAAGCTGATCATAGTAAGCTTAGGCACTACAATAATGATCTTCAGTCAGGGACTGTTTTACTCCCTGCAGGACATCTGGCAAGCTCTGGAAACAATTTTTATTGTCATTAGTGAGGGCAGAGAGTCCTGCTGGTATCCATTTAGGTCAGTTCTCCACATAGAATTACCTAGTCCAAATGTCAGTATTGCAAAGTTGAGAAGCCTAGAATAATTGGGTTTCCTTTATCAATTTTTCAGAAGCAATGGAGTACCCAAGGTTAGCCTCCAAAGCATACCTAATAATGAACTAATTCTTTAAGAACAGTTTGTTCTTGAGCAAGTAAACATACTTATTAATCACTTTGTTATATTTAGTTCATTGTATTAGGCATAATTGGAGATACAGGAAAAGCATTACATGGTCTCTCACATTGTTTTAGAGACTTTTAGAAGAGGCTTAACAAGGTCTTTTTACTTTGTTCCTGACTGATGCTTGGCTTCCCAGGAGCATACTGTGGTAGCTGTACCCAAGGACTGCCCCTGACTGAAGTGGTATTAAGTGGTGTTGTGTTAGCTGCTGCTGGTTCATGGGAACCCTTCTAATAGCTGACTCTTCCTTTCCACAGTTATGCATTGCCCACAAAAACCATGGAGGTGTTGAGGCTGCAAGACCAAGGAAACAAAATGTTCCTAGACTCAGTCCTTTCCACCCATGAGCGAGTTGTTCAGGTAGGCACTCTGGGAGAAACTAAAAATGTATTACCTCCCTGATTCCCCTGGCTTTTTTTTTCTTTTTACCAAAATGTTGTAGTTAAATATACATAATGTATAAGTTTACTGTTTTAACCATTTTGAGCATACAATTCAGAGGTGTATAGTATGTGTACAATGTACCACCATCACTACTACTCCCAGATATTATATCAAACAGAAACTCTATAATCTTAAAGTCATTTCCAATTAGTCCCTCCAGTCCTTGCTATACTTTCTGTCTCTATAAATTTGCCTGCTCTGAATATTTAATATAAACTTCTGTGCCTGGTTTATTTAGCATGTTTTCATGAGTTGTCCATATTGTAATACATGTCAATATTTCATTTCTTTTGTCTTGCCAAGATCTCACTGTGTGGTCTTTGTGATCCACTCAAGAAACAGCAATAGTGAAAATAGTATTGAGACAGTATAACTTTAAATCCATGCTTGTTTTCAGAATAACCAAAGTACTTAGAAACTTTGGTTCTTGAAATATTAGCAGTAGATTACTTTTGATACATCTAATGACAGCTCTGAATTTATGAGTTTTGACCGCTTTAAATTAGGAGTCAAATACTTCATAAATTGTTGCTTTTCCTCTTCACATCCCATTCATTCCAACCATTCATAGAGGTTCTTTTAATTCCCTGAATACTGTCTTTTGCCTTCACATCTTCCTGAATGTTGTTTCCTCTGTCTTGAAAACCCTCTACATCACCATTAAATTCTCCGTTTACTCCTGGTTTTCTTTAAGACTCTACCGATATGTAACCTCTCTAGGAAACTTCCTTTGACCTCCCTTGATTTAGACAGATAGGCATTACTCTTGTGGGTTCCTGCAACTCCCTGTGTGCTCTTCTGTCACACATCTGTTTCATCTCTCGCTTCTCAGCACAGGATCTGACACCTGTCAGGTCCTGATCAGTGTGGGTAAGCCTGAGCGGAATCAGAATGTCAGCCTGGAGTTGCTTACCTCTTGATCCAGTTATGACATCTCCTATCGGAGTAGATGCAACCAGTGATCATCCCTGCAAACAGATATTGCAGGAAGAGAAGTCTTGTAGGCTGGACTCATACACCAGCTCTAAGTGTTGAGCCTCCAACCAAGGCCCCTAGCTCCGCTGGTGCTAGCATCTGAGGTCTAGCCATTTCTGCCCAATCACCCGACTCTTGCAGCCTTCCTTTAGCAGCAAATCTTTTCTTTTTTCAGATCAGTGGTTTGAGTGCTACGTTTGCAGAGATTTTCTTGGAAATAATACGAAGCAATCTTCCTGAAGGAGTCAAACTCTTAATAAAGGAGGTAGGTATTGTTCTAGTTTGGCAGGCGCCCCCTGGTGGTGTACTGGTATTCAAAATGAGGATTGTGCTGTAAGGGTGTGGAGGGCAACTGGACTGCTTGGCTTTACAAACAACTGGAAATGAGGTTAATTTATCCAAGATAATATGTGGTCCGTTTCACTCAGATGTGGATAGCGCAGCCCAGAAAAGGTGCACAGAGTTTATTTTGGCTATTCTGAGGCATCCGGGATCATGCTTTATAGATCACAGGAGCTAACCTCATCCTGAAGTTATGAGTGAGCTTATGACAGTGCCAAATCCCCTCCTGTCAGGCAATTATATAGAAGGTAAATACAGTGTTAGATTCATGTAAAGTATAGTAAATCAGTTTCATATATAGTAATTAATTTGCTTGACTCCACAATCAACACTCTTGGCACCAGCAGCCAGAAAATTAAGACATATTGCATTGGGAAAGTCTGCTGTCAGAGACCTCTCCAAAAAACTGAAGAGCAATGATGTCTAAAGACTAAGGTGCACCTGATACAGGCCATGGTCTTTGCAATCACTTGCTGTGCGTCAGAGAGCTGGACAATGACTAAGGATGACAGAAGGAGAATTGATGCCTTTGTGCTTTAGTGCTGGAGAGTATTGAATATACCGTAGATGGCTAGGAGAACAAACAGGTTCGTCCTAGAGAAGGTGAAACCACACTGCTCCTTGGAGGCAAGGATTCCGAAGCTTCATCTGACATACTTTGGACATGTTGCAAGGAGGGACCAGTCCTTGGAGAAGGATGTCATGTTTGGGAGGGTGGAAGGACAGGGCAGGAGAGGAATACCCTCGATGAAATGGATCGATTCAGTGACTGGGGAAATGGGAGTAGGTGTGTCAGAGACAGTAAGATTGTCACAAGATAGAGCAGGGTTTAGGGCTGTTGTACATAGGGTCGCTACGAGTCGCAGGCAATTTCGATGGCACATAACAACAACATAGTAAATCAGAGTAGAAATGTTAAAATGTTCTTGAGAGAGATGATTCTTGGGCCTTTAAAACTAGATTACATGTAGCCTGCCACCTGCCCCCCACTCCCCAAAAAAACAAAACACCAAAATAAGCAAAAGACATTAGCAAGCATGAATGCAGAACAAGAGAAACAGGATGAAGATGAAGCAAATGGTACCAGTCTAAAAATGACCCAAGATACCAGAATACTCAGTGTTTAATCTAAGGCTTCTAATGGTTTTCATTTGATCACACTTCTAACTAACATATGGTCATCCTGTTTCTCTTGTTCTGTGTTTTGCTTGTTTGGGTGGGGTTTGTTGGGGTGGTAGTGGCAGGAGGTAAAGGGTAAGGAATAGGGGTCATTTCTCATAGATCTGTAGACAAGGAGAGAACATGCCAGTCATATTGACTTCAAATATCCCTTCCTCTCTGACTCTTATTTCTGTTGTAAATGGATTGTTTGTCATCCTCTCTCCTTTTCTAGTCTTTCCTGTGATACTGTTTCACCATTACTTCTTTTTGTGCCTGTCTTAGACTCTTAAGTTCATTGATGACAAAGACGAAGTCTGCTTTAGTTCTCAATCGCTGGCATTGAATACATTGTGTAGTAACAAAGCAAAAATTCCAGACCCACTGTCATCGAGTCAGTTCTGACACATGGTGACTCTGCATCAGGCTTCCTATACTAAATTGTTAAAGGAGAAGACTGCCCATCTTTCTCTCACAATGTATTAGATACTTAGTTAAAATTAGTCGAATGTAAATAATTCTTTGCAGAACTGGCTGATAGGTCATTTTTGATTGCTGTGCATATTTGGGTAATGGAAAGCTCTCCAGTAATTCCTACTTATTTTTTTCTTCTCAGCACACTGAAGAAGACTTCAAGGGAAGATTCAAAGCTCGACCAGAACTGGAAGAACTGTTGGCCAAGTTGAACTAGCTATAGACCTCTTTGTGCCAGCACTGATGATGTTGAGTTCTAGGGAAAAGAGCTTTCTGGGTGGTCAGAGTTAGGCAGAGACTGAGCCATTTAGATATCATAAGCTCCCATTCTCATGGTCAAGGATGTCTCCTCCTCTCTGTGGTAGTGGTGATGCTTGCCATTTATGAATCACCATCCTTTGAGCTAACCCCAGGTATAAAAAGATAATAAAAAATCTGCTGTGAAGTTTGCCCAGCCTGTGGGATATCTTTAAGGGATTCTATTTTCTCTTCACCTGGTGCTTTGGGATAAAAGCATTCTTCCCTTCAGTATGTCTCCAATTAGAGTGAACTTACCCTTTAAAAAAAATCTGTGAAGCACAGGATTATAGTATACATAAACTCTCCAAGGGTAGAAGTCTGAGGGGGGACATTTGGGTGTTTTATATGAAAAAACTCTACAGTCAGAGCATAGATTCAGGTTTAGGGGAGGGAAAAAAAGCTTTGTTGAATAGTGAATAGCTTGTGACAAGTATTCAGGCAGATGGTATATAACTGTTAGGGTTGCCTAGAAAGAGTTTAAACAAAGAATTGAAGGATGCTGTTGGTCAACAACCTCTGGCCCATGATCCAAATCTCACTCACCCATGTTTTTCTAAATAAAGGCTTATTAGAACACAACCATGCTCACTTGCTTATTTATTGCTTATGGCTGCATCAGAATCACCCCATAGGGCTTTTTAAGAGTTTCTGAGTTCTACCTTTGATACTCTTATTTAATGGGTCAGTACTGAGAGCCTAGAACTTAGATTTCTTACAAGTTTCCATGTTATACTAATGCTGTTGGTCCAGTGTTACTTCTTCCAGAATGACCAGTCTGGGTGACCTCTGATGTTTTTCCTATTGTGAGCTCTAAAACATTTATGTTTTTTGTGCAAAATAACTACCACTTACTGAGCTAGATCCTATGCTTGGTATTATAGTAGTGCTAATCTTCACATTGTTGTTGTTATGTGCCGTCGAGCCGTTTTCAACTCATAGCGACCCTGTGCACAACAGCCCTAAACCCTGCCCTATCCTGTGCCAACCGCACCGCCTCTGACACACCCATCCCGATTACCCCAGTCACCGAATCAATCCATCTCATAGAGGGTCTTCCCCTCCTGCGCTGTC